TTCACTACTTTATCGAGAATGGCCGTGGGGCCCATGACTCGTCTTGTGCGGTGGTTTCTGGAATTCTTTCCCGAGCTGTAAAGCTAACTACTCTCCTCCAAAGTTAAGGATACGCGGAGATATACTTCCACGCCCCCACACGTCTCTATGGTGTACTGACATATTTACCTTTCAGTATGTACCAAAAAAACTAGAGAAATGAGTTCATAAGTTACTGCACACACTCCGCTTAGAAAAATAGGCCAACAGTAACTGTATCATTCCGTAGCCTACTTCAAACACGAAAACACCAAGCTCGAGGCTACAATTGAAATCCAAGTTTCGTCAAAGTAAACATCACATTGAAACTGTTAACATCACGAAATACATAATTTAAAAAAAAAATGCAGAAACTCATATTTTAATATGTCAAATTGACGAAAATATACCCACATATACAAATCTTATCAATAATTCTGCACTCTTTAGAGTTGTAATAAACGTTTTATCCTTTATGCTCGCACATCTGATGGATAAGTATTTCTGATGACGTGCTTAAAATGGCGAGCAGGATATCAGCTTTGGCCACACAGTAACCAGGACACAAACTCCTGCGAATTCTTCCTTTGGTGTTGCATTGAACATGTAATCCATAAAGGACAAATTCACATTAACATTCTTTGTCTTCAGATATGTATATATTACAATTATACGAATGTTAAATCTTTTATTCAAACTTTCAAACGTGTATCATTTTGTGTGCAACTCTGGAATTTATATCAGACTGAGCGGTCTGGTAAGCCATTAGACATACCATTTATTTTTAATAGTTTCATTCTGTTTCTGCCTTTGGAATGCCGTCTTCGAATAAAAATACGGGCTGAAACTATTGAATGATTTATTTTAATTTTGAATTCTGTTGTAGAAAAATTCGGTCTCTTCGACAGTACGGAACACCCTGACAACCACGTCTTTCTAATGCAGGTAAAGTTTCTTTTTCAGTCTGTGTTTACCTGATTCCAAATCCTATTCATGATAATATTCTCATTTCATTCGGTGCTGGAAATCTAGGTATACAAAAAGTTAAATTATCTTACATAACGTTTAACATGTCATCAGCGAAAGAAATTTGAAATTAAAAAAAAATTATGCTCCTGTGATTTTATTAACATAATTTTATTATGAAAGTAAATTTAGTCCAATAATTAAATCGATATAATATCCTCTTCACATGTTCACGGTTCTCGTAAGTTATCAAAGGATCTATAACATTTAATTTTCCGAATTCGGCACTCGATCTTAAATGTTATATATGAATATACTAACAGTTCCTTCGAGTATTTATTATTTAATTTTTTCCGTCTTTAGCGTCTAACAAAACATTTATCGTGACATACTTGAAATCCTCCTCGACATATTTCTATCCTCGGGGCCGTCATCTGGTAGGCCTACATGTTGCAACTCTCGCATCTGGCATTCTTAACGTCACAATAATTTTCAGTGGCCCACTTTAAATATTTCTTCAATGGATAAAACATGTAATCCTACTACTGAAGATTAAACACGTGGCTGAATTGGGGGGCGTGGTACTTATATAAATTTTGAATGTAGTGTCACAAGAGTGTCCGCTTTGTGCTTGTGATTAGGTTAATGCCTACGTGACCCTAATATCCTCCACCTAACTATATCAACATCACACACCTTAATGTGCCTTTAAGCATTCCATAGGCAAGGAGGTCACGTTAATGTATGAAAACACATCGTTTACATTCGTGACCATTTTGTCGTGAGATGAATATATCCATATGATGCTCTGAAGACGTATTTTATATTGAACTGGATAACAAGTTGTTTATTTTATTATTATTATGTAGTGTTCTGTCTGACGACAGGTCCATATGAACAGGATCCTTCCATCCTTTTCTCGGACTGGGACCTGTTCATATACGTTCTTGGCAGATGATCCAGAAGTTGTTTGCCATTGCCTTCTTCTGTGTGTGAATGGAGTAATTGTTGGGATGCCACGGAGAAACCGGGGAAGCCCCGGAGGAAAACTCCGTGATACCTTGACCACGGCCTTGCCCAACACAAGTTATATAATTCAGAGGAAATTAAGGAAGAAAGGAAAACGAAAGAATGGTACAGGATTTAGACACCTCCATTTGTGAAGTGTTGCTTTTCTGTTCAACCTTGTTCATACCTGTATACTGTTCCTTAAATCCACCACTGTCCATGAGGGATTTGATGAAAGCAATAGAGGGGAGAATATCCTCCCCTTACGTCGACATAGCACACCCCCATTTACTGTAGTTCCATAATATCCCATTCATTTATTCATGCTTTGCCTTGCCATCAGTAATTCGAAATAACAGAACGCAGAAGGCTTCCGAGGACTTAATATTATGATGAAGATACATGGAATCAAGCTGAGCTGTTGTAGTAGGCCTTTGGGCTAAGAAGGAGCCAGTGGCGGAGAGACAATTTACAGAGCTTGGTCTCACCACCCTTGACGATTTCTGCCTTGATACACGTCTGATCCTTCGGGGATTCACGGCTTACGAAGTGTGAGCCGCGTCCTAGTCGCCCTCTCCTTCCTTCCAAAGTTTCTCTCTCATTAACTCGAATATCTCCAGCCTAAGTAGCTAATTGGGAGTGATCTTCCGAGCACAGCGCTCCATGAAGCTGGAAGTCTCTCAGCTATCCGCATTCTGCGGAACCCGAGGTTTCATTGGCGCTATCAAAAAAGCTCACCACTTGAACCTACCCAGCGTTGAGTCCACACCACTAACAGCATAATTTTAATATCATTTTTAATATTATCCTCTGATCGACTCCTAAGTCATCCATTTGGTCCTTCCCCTTAGATTTGTGATCTTCTGAAGAACAGATTAAAATTCTGGAAATCTTAGTATTGACCGACAATGCAATAGACTGTTCAGAAATATTTTAATTCAACCCAAAACGGTGATTACTTTAACGCACAGAAAACAAAAGTGGATAATTACTTATTCTATAATTATTCGTCTAAGACACGAAACTCACTCGAAATTTACTGTCAGGTAAGAAAAGGACACCGTCATATTTTCATAAAATCATACGCCTACGTCAGTGCCTCTGTGTACTTTTTCCACAGAATCACTCTGCGCTGAAGAGTGTTACATTACCTGAAAATTCCAATTAGTTTTCTAAAGGGATCTGGTTCGAAACGTGGATTAGCAACCAAATATTCAACTTTTTTTAGTAGTGTGTGTCTTTTAAGTAAACCATGACAAATTCTTACAAAATTAATAACAGATATGCATTTTATATTAATTCTCTTTCAAAGTGATTTTAAACACTGACGAAGGAAGGAACATGGCTGTCTTAATTCGCGGTTGCAGTCTTCTAGGAAGTTTACCGACGTTTCGTACGTCCCTGCAACATTCATAATGTGTACTTCTCATCGAAATATTTTCTATTCACTCCCCAATATTATTATACGTAATTTAATATATAATTCCTGATGAGCTACATCTAATACAAATTTACATTTACACATATGTGGAAACCTTTAGCTAATCCTCATACACTCCACACTGAACTGGATGAACGTACACTAAATCCCAGGGTTTAAAGAGACTCGAACAACAAACTCTATTTAGCAAAGCCTTTCTTAAGGAACTGGTAATGCTCTCAGGTAGATAAGAATTGTCTGTCTTTTATAGAACGCGAAGGTTCATCGCCGTTTCCACAAAAGAGTTCGTCCCTAGTACTTATTCTCAGACGCTTTAAAAGAACCCATTTACAACCCGTTTTCAAAGATCAACTTTAATATTATCCTCCTATTCATAATCAATTATTCCAAGCGGTTTCTTCCTTTCAGAATTTCGGATGGAAGCTTACCATAAATCGGTTATTTACCCATGTATAAATGTTCTTGGTTTCAGTGTACAAACATAAGAGCAGTTCCTTCAAGTAATTATACTCTTACTGTCGAATACCAAATTATTCTGAACCTCAGTCACCTGCTTTTGTAGTTTATTCGACACACGCGCAAATTTTACATGCAGGGGTAGGTTTACAGAGATAATTCCTTGAATTAAATAATTCACATGACACCAGTATTAAATAACGCGGAATGAGACGTGACAACGACAACCATCTGTGGAAAGAGAACTCACAGATGTGTATAATTAGCCCTACCTCGTCTGTGAGATACTTCCTAGTCATCAGTCGTATTATCATTAACAAAATGTAAAACTTAAGTAGAAATAGAAATTAAATTCGCTTAGTCGATACAGGTTACAAATAAAATTGCATGGGATGACGTCGACAAGAATCGATAAAATTCGATGAGGCCGGTACAAATCCATAACATAAAACTTTACTCAGAAGAACAGGATTTTAGATCAGTGGTATTCAACCACGTTTTGTTCGCGTACCCCCCAGATATAATTTCTCTTCAACTTTGTACCCCCAAAGTTGTTGGTGTATATTTCAAGTTATACATAGTATATAATCTACATCTAAAATAAATTAAATTACTGATTATTCAGTGTTTATCATAAAATATATTTATATTTTTTAAATTTCACGTACCCCCTAAGATGTCTTCGCGTACCCCCAGATATAATTTCTCTTCAACTTTGTACCCCCAAAGTTGTTGGTGTATAATTCAAATTATACATAGTATATAATCTACATCTAAAATAAATTAAATAAATTACATTACTCATTATTCAGTGTTTATAATAAAATAATATATTTCTAATTTCACGTACCCCTGGTTGAATACCACTGCTTTAGATAACTGCCTTGCAGTTGTCATCATTGCTTTCTTAGGTTGCAGTAGACTATGTAAGGTCGATTTTAGTTGGCCCAGACGTGACACAGGTAACACTGACAAATTTGATGGTTATAAACAACACGAATCTCGCCCCATCTAACTAGCTTTCTTTGTACATCGAGTACCTTGTCTGTAATTTATATTTTTCGCTAGGTTTTCGTGGTTGGGACACGTAGCACGCATGAGTAAGGTAAGAAATGCATGCAGAACTTGAATTATTTCCTACTCAGAAGTAAAACCATAAGTTTGGTGCGTGCCCGCCCGCCACTGGAGTCCCTGGTGAACGAACATAAGAGCTCCGCTCTGCGTTGGATATGCAGACTGAGCCAAGCCGTGACGTAGAGCAACCAGGTACCGACAACAGCGGAACGAACTGGTGGGTGAGTATTATCATATTTACGGTGCACTCACAAAAGGAAGGGAGAATGTAGTGAAATCGATATTAATGTACAGACCGTAGGATACGGCTCAGGAAACGAAAGCTGATGTGATGCAATGGCCGTGGATAGATTACTTCCTACTCGAGAGCAAAGCACAGCAATGTTCGAAAATTTCTAAGACTGCACGTTATTCTGTAACTCCAGTTTGTAGCCAGTTACTATACCGACTGAGCCACCCCGTCTCCCAAAGACATCAAACATCACATGAGATATTGAAATTAAATTTAAAGAGTAATAACATTTCAAAAGGAGATTAAAAGATGTACACTACAGAGTAGTCAAAATAAGTGTTTTTTCTACAATTGACGTTCGTATATGAAATGGATGGTAATAGTATTCTTATGAATATAGATATTATGATATTGTGATTTTGAAGAGAATGATGGCTATGATTGTGGTGATTGCTTTGACTGTTTAAAGGATCCCGGGTTCGATCTAAACCTTTGCCGGGAAATGATCTTTGTTTGGAGAGAATTCTCTCTGGTTGAATGATAACGTAGTAACATAGAAAATACGCGATAGTCAGAAGGAAAAGACGTACCCATATAGCATTCTTTCCTTATGAAAAAGCGTAAAGATTTCCCAAAACCACATTTTCTTAATTCCATACAAAATTGTCCTTCTTGAGGAAAAGCTAATAGTTGCTTAGTTTCACTAATCCAAAGCCTCGTATAAGGTGTCATAACACCAAACTTATTCTCCGCGACGGTTTTTCCGAAATATTAGCAGATAGGAACAAAAAAAAAACAACATTACTTCTAGACGGACCTCCTTAACTCTTCATATCTGACCGATTATAAAAAACCACTACAAACATTTCACCCACGCAAGATCACGCTATACGCGACATAGACATTTACGAAACAACATTGAATGTGATAACAAAGTACAATTGATCTAGAAGAGGATAACTTTCCGATATTTAATGGACATCTGACGAAGGATTGCATTTAGAATATTACATTTAAATTTATATTGATTATACACCTGAAGATGGTTCATTGAAAACCGAAACATGTCGTGAAAAAGATGATGCTCTAATTGTAAATCGAACATTTCGATAGAAAGAGCATCATTTTAATATATTTTAAATATTTTAAATATTAAATGTTAATTGTAGTAATAATATTTTAATATTTTAATAAAATATTTTATTGTGATTAGACGGTTAAAATTAAACAATTAAACAACAAGATAGGAACAAATTATGCGAAAGCTCTAACATGTTTGAAACGTCACTCTAAAGCAAACATCGCCAATCTTATGCCCGAGGACAACTCGGGGCCCTCGGAAAGGTTTGCGATTCCGCACGAGAATTCGGAAATGCCCTTAATAGTTTGATTAGTCGCTGATGATTTCAAAGCACGTGTTGATTTTCTATCTAAGAACTGAATTTCTGTCCGGTGTCGAAGAATTTTAAATATTTAGATTCTGATGTTACATTAATTCAGAGATTCTGGTGTGAATTTACTTATCCGCTTATATCCGTCCTTAAGATAGGTTATTTTTGTGTGATGGAGTGTGGAAAATCTATGTTTTTGGAAATGTCATGATATGAGAGCATAAGATATAAATCTAATCGAAATTTAATTTATTCCAATCGAATTTTTTTTGGTATTTTAACACTGTGCTAGCTGTAAGTTGTAAGCGTCTTCTAGATGCCTGTCACCGTAAGCTTGCTGGCGGCTTTCGTATAACGTCGGTTTCAATTTTGAATTCTGAATTACAAATAAATTTTATTACCCTATTATCAATTCATGTGGAGAGAGTGAGCTGAAAGACTGAGTTAATTTCGTTAAGTGGCCGTCTATTCACGAGCCACGTGGCATGTAAGCTGAACGGAGATCACCTCAGTTCCCACTGACTGAACGTATCGCCCAGGGATCGTTTATTGTACTCCAAGTTCGACATTGTGAGAGGCACAGTGGAACACTCGTTGCTACGACTGCATGCTGTGAGGAAAATAGCGGAAGAACGGACCATTCACTACGTGAATTCTTTTCATGACTAGACGGTTAGGCTGTGTTTTTATTATTTCCATCCAGTCGTGGCTCTGACAAATTAATAGGATCACGAAACGTCTTTTGTTCAGTATATAGAATAGCGGATTGTTTTGTAAAATAAATACGTATTGGTTTCAATATAAATTCGATATTTTTAGGTACAGGAAATCGTAAACTTGTGATTTAAAAAGAACAATGTGTCTAGATTTTGGGATTGTTAATGAATACTGAAAGAGATGGCAACTGACGTGTTTATCAATTGGAAGTAACTAGTGCCTCGCCTGTGTCTGATTGCAAATCCCCAGGTGTTATTTAAAAAGTTAAATCGGGATGGTCTCGAGCTGTCCGGATATTTACCATATAATTTCTATCCATAGTGAAATAGTGAATGAAGGAATGTGTAAGATTTTTAAGAACTTGAAAATTAAAGTATACAAAACAATAATTTTGTCTGTTGTTTTGTATGGGTGCGAAACATGGTCTCTCACTCAGAGGGAGGAACACAGATTGCAGGTGCTTGAGAACAGGGTGTTGAGGAGGATATTTGGGCCTAGGAGAGAAGACGATGGGGCGTGGAGAAAACTGCATAATGATGAGCTTAAAAATCTGTACTCATCCCCCAATATTGTCAGGGTGATTAAGTCGGGAAGAATGAGATGGGCTGGGCACGTAGCGCGCATGGATGGGATAAGAGGTGTGCACCGGGTACTGGTTGGGAAACCTGAGGGAAGAGACCACTGGGGAGACCTAGACGTAGATGGGAGGATAATCTCAGGCAGGATCTATGGGAGATAGGAGTTGAAGGAAACTGGATTTTGTTGGTCCAGGACAAGGTCCGGTGGAGGGCTTTGATTATTTCGGTAATGAACCTTCGGGTTCCATAAGCCATCTAATTTGTTAGTTAGACATGATCATCTTCCTGTTGTGCAAGTTCGGTAAGATATCCAGGTAGTTACTACGACAAAATCTTTAATACCGACTATGGTGTGAAAACTTGCCCTCACCCTATGAAAACATCTGGCTTCAAATTTTCCTGCCAGGCCTTCACTTTAATTAGCGAAAGACTAATTTGCTTCAAGGTTTATATCGTCCGTACTAAGTGGTCGGGCTGACACATTTTACTAATTGCCAAGCAGACCGCGTTGTTCAGATCTCGACAGAGTCTCTTCATCGGCCCACAACAATTATACGAACTGTAAATATTATTCTGTATATTTAACGCTAAGCGGACTTAAACGTTACATATGCATGTAGCTTCTCTTCTCACCCTAATTACAGGATCAGCTAGTCAGCTAGTTCCTCCGCCTGTCACAGAACCCAAAGGTTCATTACCGTGTTTACAAAAGTCCGCCATAGAATCGTTCCCTAATTCGAATCAAGGTATATCTTTCAGTTATGTCTAAGAATCGTAAGTGATATCCAAATATTCTTCGCAGTAGTCTTTTTGTTAAATATTTTCAGACCAAGTTTTTTTATAAAATTAAAATTAAAATTTTGTACGTACATAATAATTTTTAGGTGTCAAAATAGAAGATAAATTAAAGCCGGGATAGCTCAGTCAGTATAGTGCCTAGCTACGGGCTGGACGGCCGGGGTTCGATCCCCGACGGGGGCAGAGGATTTTTCCTCTAGCCTCTGCGTCCAGACTGGCTCTGGGGCCCACCCAGCCTCCTCTACAATGGGTACCGGGGTTCTTTCCCGGGGGTAAAGCCGGCCGAGGCGTGATGCTGACCACTCACCCCCATCTAGTGCCGAGGTCAAGGAAGGGAGGAGCTATACCTTCACTCACCCCAAGCGCCTACATGGCGTATAGTGGGACAAACTTTTTTTAAAAAAAACTTTTTATACACCGGATATTTTGGTTCTTAGGTCACGTCTTAATCTTACATGGCCGGTAACGGAGATCATACAAATTATTAATTTTATTCTCTAGCATAATATTTATATGACACTAAATTTTCCATTTTTAATAACTTTCAGAATTCGCAGATTTCAAAGAACCATCTGGTGTTCAGAATGTGAATTTGTACTCACTTCAATGGACGTCGTGGACTGATGCATACCAGACGTTCAATTGAAAATATTTAGTTGTGAACAAAAGATCGTGGGCAGAATTCTGAAAAGTCATTCTTCTATTGTGACACGCTGTGTAACGGTTACTTATTGTACTTATTTGAAAACTCAAGTAGATTTTAATTCCTTCTTAACAGGTATTAAACATCTGTACAGCATCCTATTCACAGAACATCACAGAATGTCACCTCGGCTCGGAACGTCCTTACGTTTCGAGTGGAGATGAAGGCTTCCAGATATTGAAAGCAGCTACGAATGAATTGAATAAACCGACGTGGACAGCCGATAGGGGGTTGCCCTCCAGGTTGAATTTAAACGGGAGATAACAACTATAAACAGAAAATAACCTGTAGCTCAGTAACGTGTCCTGACGGAGTTAGTCAATGATTAAAGAGAAGATCTTTACAATATTTTGCTTGTTGTATCTAAAAAGCTAGTCAGGCTAATTAAAATGTATAATTGTATAACCAACAACTTTTAACACTGAACGGTATTATACGTAGACCATACGCGTTTCGGCCCTAAGGGGTCATCTTCAGTGGCCAGTAAATATGTTATATTTCAATATAAAGCTTCTAAAAATATATAAAAGTACAGAGTTAAAATACTTCTTCCAACTTGTATGCAAACGCTACTGACTGACTGTAATGAAAACGTGAGTCTAATTGGGTAAAAAATGTTTTTAAAAACTGACTAAGTCGGACGTTTAAACAATAAAAAGTTTTTGTTATTCTCACCACATGTCACATTTCACTCCAGGCCTTAATGTATTGTCCGTACTCGTCGTGTGGATGCTAATGTTGTTGCACCGATTAAATCGTAAATGGGTGCGAAACATGGTCTCTCACTTTGAAGGAGAAATATATAGATAGAGGGTTTTGATGAGAGTGTTGAGGAAGATATTTTGACCTGAAAGGGAGGAAGACGGATTTAGGAGAAAATTGAATAATGATTAGCTTCACGGCTTGTATTCCTCACCTGATATTGTTAGGGTGATTAAATCCAGGAGTATGAGGTGAGATATGCAGAGGCATTGGGATGGGGAGGTGTGTTTAAAAGGTACTGGTTGGGAGGCCTGAAGAGAGGAGACCTTCTGGGAAGACCTAGGCGAAGGTGAGAGGGTAATGTAAAGATGGACCTTAGGGAGATAAGAATCGATGGAGCGAATTGGAGGCAGCTGGCTCACGGTAGAGTCCGGTGACAAGCTTTTGTGAACATGGTTATGAACGAAGATTTCTGTCTTCTGGGTTATTGCGCTGTGAGAACCTCAAGTCTTACATGGTTATGAACCTTTTCATAAGGAAAGTAGGCAATTCTTTGACAAGCCAAGTAACAATTGACTTTTCAAAGAATATCCTGCACTATAGAGTGAGGGAGTGAGTGGCGTTTCTGTCTGAGTATTGGCCAGATTCGTTCTGAAACACCGGGCGTTGTAAGGATCGATATAGCTCAGGCAATAAATTGTTTGGATACGTTCTGGACAACGTAAATTTATACAGAGAGAGGTAATTCTGTTGTAATATGACTGTCTGCCGTCTAGATAAGCGTGTTTTAAGTTTGTAAGTATATTTTTGTATTTGGTGTGAATTTCGAAATCTTGTGAATATTTTGGATTTGGTTTTCTGAGCTGTAACGCTGCATAGTTTCGTATGGGTTTGCCAGTTAAGGAAGTAACGAAGAAGGAGGAGTTATGTTCCTCCGAAACTTCGGTAATTGCACGATGTCATAAGCGAGAAGACCACAGTGTTCAATGATTTCTCTGTTAGCCACATTCAGACTGACGGTGTGACCACCCAGCCTCTAGATGAAACCAGGCTGACCACCCCTCACCATCTTGCCATCCAGAACGCGCGAAGCTTTACAGTCACTTATCTGTATGACTTCATGCAAAGGGATAAATTTGCTTTCTCTTAACTCATAAATTTACTTAAGATGGTTAAGTATCGACATTGATGGTCCCAAACCGTCATTCCATCACTTTATCGGGCAGAGTAAAGTTATGTAAAATTAGTAATTGCGAGTCTAATGTCTTATGGTACAGTGTATGAAGCCAAGCATCGTATAATCGCTAAATTCATCCTCTTTAGTGTCCACAAGTCTAATCTGCAGGAGCCCTTTAAATTCTTACGGTTGATATATTAATATTTGTTTTCATTACTTTGTAGAATGGCGGGTTTTTTTAAAAAAAATTAGAATAATTCTTGTTGTTTTAGAAGATTACTAATTATTTAAACGCTAGAAATGAAATGTCTCACCTAAGAACTGGCCAATAACATTTTGTTCTTTACCAAATCGGTGAAAATATCCTACAACCTTACTTTTTGGCAATTCAGTTAATAAACTTTAACTGTGTCTTTGAAAGTGAATGTGACTTCAATTCTTAAACTCTCTCTTTCCCGGAAGCATGGTTATGATGTAATTAATCACGATATTTATTTACTTATTTCATAGTTTTTCTTTTAACATTTTCTTTGTTTATTACTGAATTTGATAAAATCGGAGACACTCGCAGAAATTTAACACGAAGCGTACAATCAAATTCCCTTCCAACGTTTCGAGAACAATTGTTTGTTCACCGTTCAGCCACATTACGCGGCTTATAGACCGAGAATCTTCTACCAACTTCAGTCGCAGCGAAAGCCTCACCTAATACACAAGAAGTGTATAATTGTCCGTAAGTTTTCGCGGATTCGAGTTCAATGTATAACTCACCGGCAACTAAAGTTATATATAAGGAACTTGTAGCATTTCTCTCTGCAGCGCTGTCCTGAAAACCCTGGCTAAATTATACCTCAGTCGCCGAACATAATTTTTAATTCATCTAAAATGACTTACATGAGCATGTAACTAACTCCAAGGAACAAAATACAACTCGGCAAACGGATGGTCTACCATCCTTCGTCTTTTATGGAACCATAAGTTTCATTTCCGTGTTGAGTTCGTCTCGAGGCAGTTGATACCATTCCACTTTCTCACACCCACGCCGTAAGCTAAGGTCGCCAAAGTCGTTACTTTCCTCTCGGGTTTTATAACTTCAGTTTTATAAGCATTTACCGTCTCCTCACGCATGCTTCATGATCCGCCCGTTCGATAACCCTCGTAATATTTGGCGAAAAATACGAATTAAGAAACACCTCACTGTATATTTCTCCATCCTCTTTATTTTCTCTGGCAGGCTAAATTCCTCTTTACAAATGATTTTTTGAAGATTTCTGTCTTCTGGGTTATTGCGCTGTGTAGTCTGGTCGATGTTAACCAACGTTTCAGAGGTCATACTGCCTCCGTCATCAGGGCGACTACACAGCGCAACAACCCAGAAGACAGAAATCTTCAGACTCATCGCCCTGATGATGGAGGCAGTATGACCTCTGAAACGTTGCTAAACATCGACCAGACTACACAGCGCAATAACCCAGAAGACGGATATCTTCATACTCACCGCTGTGAGAACCTCATGTCTTACAAATGATTTTTTAACTTCATGGCTGTAATGCGCAATGAATCAAGGAATTTTAACATCTAAAAAAATTTAAGCTTATATGATCAGGAAAGAAACTTTTCCATCTTCCATAATAATGTAGAGAAATTGTAAGTGATCACGTTCGAGTGTCTTAAGCAATGCAATTGTGCAATTTATTCCCTCCTACATGAGGCTCTCGTTATTAACACTTAACTGCATCTGACGTTTTGCGTAGGTTTCAAGGTTGCCACAACCTCTGCTGTTTGCTGTTCCAAGAGCACTTACGGTAACGCAAAATATTACCCACCGTTTATGGAACCCCAAAGATTAATTACCGTGTTCACAAGAACCAGTCATCGGCCACGTGAATCCAATCGATAACTTTGCATTCTATTTCTTCAAGATTTATTTTAATATTATTCTGCCTTCAATGCCTAGTGTCTTCCAATTACTCTCTACCTTTCAGGTCTGTGTTCAAACATTTTTTCGCCTTTCACTCTCGTATATATTACATGCACCGGCCATCTCATTTTTCGTGATGACAATGTTTCGGTGAACAGTACAAATGATGAAGCTCCTTATTATGTATGCTCCCCGTCGAGCTACTTCCTCTGTCCTAGACAGCCTACAAATATTCTCCTTAACACCCTCCAGCAAACGCTTTTGTTTTATTTACCCATTTAAAATAGATGAATAAATTTTAATTCGTGAGTTGCATAGATGTGGGCCTACCACTGTGATGGCAAATTTGTCTCTCATTTCTCAATTCTCTTCTGTTTTTGGAATTTTATTTCGGAGGGGATATTTTAACATAAAGGTTTGAAGAGTTTAAAACATAACTTAAATTCTACACTTTTTTTAAGTTATTTGTTCATACTTCACAGATCCATGTAACACAGAATCCATCGCGGGTATATTTCAGCCAGGGCGTGAGTCTTCCTTTTTACCAAACTTTCAGACCGGTTCTGAGATCCACCCAGCCTCATCCAGTGCGTACCCAGGACTCAAAATATCTTCTACCCTGGGCTAAGTCACATTAAAAGGGCCTCGATCTACCGCTGGCTGGGCACAATATGTGTATTTTTAACGGTAAACGAAAATTAAGATTTCCAATAGCTATTTCATCAATTTGGGCCCCAAGTTCTGAGCCATAAAACGTAGTGGCATAAGAGAATTTCGGGCCTGGACTAAATTTTTGCAAATCAATTGTCATACAGAACATTTCGGGCTTTCTAGAGCTGTGCTTTCGAAATAT